GAATTTACTGTGAATTTTCTGGGAATTCACTGAGTAATTTGCTGGGAATTTATTGAGTAATTTTCTAAGAATTTACTGGCAACTTTCGGAGTAAGTTACTAGGAATTTACTGGAAATTTTCTGAGTAATTTCTGAGAATTTACTGTAATTTACTGAGTAATTTAGTGGCAATTTACAGAGTAATGCACTGAGTAATTTGCTGCGAATTTACTGGGAATTTGCTGTGTAATTTATTGAGAACATATTGGGAATTTCTAGAGTAATTTATTGAGAATTTACAGGGAATTTACTTAGAAATTACAGGCAATTTTTTGAGTAATTTATTGAGAATTTACAAGGAATTTACTAAGTATTTTCTGAGAATTTACTGAGTAATTTACTCAGTAATTAATTGAGTAATTTTTACAGAATTCACTGAGAAATTTTCTAAGTAAATTATAGAAAATTTATTGCGAATTCACTGAGTTATTTACTGGGAATTTGTTGAGAACTTATTCTGTATTTTATTTGGAATTTACTAAAAATTTAGAGAGTAATTTACATTGAATTTACTGAGTAAATTATTGGGAATTTACGGCGCAACTTTCTGAGTATTTCCTGGGAATTTATTGAGAATTGATTGGGAATTAACTGAGTAATTTACTGGGAATTTAATGAGAATTTTCTGAGTAATCTACTGAGCAATTTGTTGGCAATTTACTGAGTAATTTTCTGAGAATTTACTGAGAACTTACAGAGTAATTTGCTGGGATTTTACAGGGAATTGACAGAGAATTTACTGGGTAATTTACCGAGAATTTACTGTTTAATTTGTTGAGAAATTTTCTTAGAATTTTCTAGGAATTTACAGATAATTTAAGGAGTAATTTATAGAGAATTTACTGGAAATTTACTGGGAATTTTATGAGTAATTTACTAGGAATTTACTTATTAATTTATTGAGAATATACTGGGAATTTGTTGAGTAATTTACTAAGAATTTACAAAAAATTTACAAGGAATTGCCTGAGAATTTATTGAGAATTTACTGAATAATTTACTGGGAATTTACTAGTAATTTACTGAGCAATTTACGGTGCAATTTATTGAGAATTTACTGAAAATTTACTAAGAACTTTACTGGGATTTTAAGGATTAAATTACTGAGAATTTTTTTAGAATTTGCTGAGAATTTACTCAGTAATTTACTTAGTGATTTACTGAGTATTTATTGGGAATTTACTGAATTATTTTGTGAGAATTTATTAGATATTTACTGAGTAATTTCTAGGAATTTACTGAGAATTTACTAGAAATTTACTTGGTAATTTACTCACAATTTACTGAATAAATGTACTGAGTAATTTACTCAGAATTTAAATATTCATTTCTAGAGAATTTACTGAGTAATTTAATGGGAATTTACTGAGTGATTTACTGAGTAATTTAACGAGAATTACAGTGTGATTGACTGAGAATTTACTGACTAATTTATTGAGAATTTACCGGGAGTTTATTATGTAATTTACTGAGAATTCACTGAATAATTTTGTTAGATTTTTTTTGGAATTTACTGAGAATTTATTAGGTAATTTTTTGAGAATTTATAGAGAATTTACTGAAAATTTACCGAGTAAATTACTAAGAATTTACTATGTAATTTACTGAGAATTTAATGAGTAATTTTCTGAGTAATTTACAAAAAATTTAGTGAGAACTTATCGAGTAATTTACTGAGAATTTACAGGGAACTTACTATGTAATTTACAGAGAATTTAAAGAGTAATTTATTGAGTAATTTACTGAGAATTTAGAGGCAATTTTTCTTAGTAATTTACAGAGAATTTATTGAGAACTTATAGAGTAATCTACTGAGAATTTACTGTGATTTTACAATGTAATTTACTTATAATTTACTTGATATTTACTAGGTGATTTACTGAGAATTACTATGTAATTTAAGAAGAATTTACCAAGTAATTTACTGAGATTTTGCGAGGAATTTACTAATTAATTTACTGAGAATTTACTTGGAATTTTTTGAGTAATTTACTAAGAAT